AGAAGCAGGTGGGGTGCACGAGCCCAGGCGTCTCTAAGAAGCGCTTTGGCCTCGCTTGCGCCGCCTGCCTGGAGCGATGAGTGTCCATACATCTGTAAAAGTGCGGTGATGCGCTGTGTGTTACTGCCATTTTGTGTGATAGCCTGCGGAGTAGGAAGCATGTCAGCGGTTTGCAAAGATTTTGCCGAATCAGCATCATCCAATCTGAGTTTTGTGATGCTAGACTGGGAAAAAGGCTTCGATGAAGTACAGCACGATATGTTGATCATTGCTTTAGACCGATCAGGATTTCCACTGAATTTCCACGTCATGATCTAGATGATATCCAAGACTGTTATCGAAGGCCAACCTTTTATGTCAAAGATGAGCCTGGAAACTCCGCCACAAAAATTCAGTCAGCAGGCATCCGGCAAGGATGCCCTTTGGCTTTTTTTGTTTTTAAATTCGTGTTGGTCATGACATGCATAGATGTTGATAAACACGATTCAGTCAGCCAACATGTAATCAACAATCGGGTTCCGGGCCTGGATTACGATATTTAGCATGCTGATGGTACTATTCTTTTCTCACAGTCGAACCGTGGACTGAATGAGTTTCCCAGTCTCACCGAAACAATTTCAAAGCAATACGGGTTGAAACTGAACAGAGACAAGTGCGTGGCAATATCCAAATAGGAAACTGTTGGAAACTGCCACCGCAGCAGCATTTCCAACACCGGGTGACCGCTAAAGATTAGTAATAGTATGTTGCAGTGAATACCACCAGGGAAGTCGAGCCAAATTGCTGGGGCACGTCCTAAGATGTGCCAATGATGATCCTTTGCGTCGAATTTCACTCGTGCTAAATTCAGCTACCCGTATAGTATACACTATGGCAAGTCGCCCGACACAAAACTGGCTGAATTTCACTAAAAAGTTTGTCTATAAACATCAATTGTCACACTGGAACTATACAGGCTCGATTCAAGAAGACGGGATTGTGCATGCAATTAAGTTTGTAGTTTTGTCCTCCGCAGCTGCGCCTACGGCGTGCGCGACTGATTGGGTCAGTGCAGGGTAAGGCTTGGAAAGGTGTTACGAGGTGTTCCTACTTGAGAGCTCGATAGGCTTTGGGGTTGACCGTCTTGACTATAGATGCAAACCTGAAAGATGCGAAGGAACAAAACGAAAAACATTGCTAACCACAGACCAGCCGGACGTGTGGATATCCCTTGCGCTGGTTGTTTGTTGGGAGCGAACAAACAAAAACAGACAGCCGCACGTGGACATGCGCCACCCATGACGCCCAGAGAGTTGGGGCTCCCAGAAGCAGAGCCATTTGTCAGGCCGTCACCTTTCTCCGTTGTCTCGTACTTTGATTCACGGTGTTGTCAGTCTGGTTGTGACTTCCGTGTCCTTGCCCCGCAGCAATGTCCGCCCATCCCCTCCTTGCTTCTCATCTTCAGATCTTCCCAACCTCTGGCGATAGCGTCTGGCATCTGGAAGGCATCACCAGAAAACGTAGAACGGTGTTCGTCAAAAATACATTTTTCAGATCCTCACACGGCACCATGCTGGACATCAGACTGGCCTCGGCTGATCTACTAGCAACGGCGTTGAAGCTGAAGCCAGCGTCTACTAAGTAGTACTCGAAATGTTTTGGCTGCGCTTTCCTACAGGCAGTGAGGAAGTTGCAGAGCGTCCCGTGCAGTCTTCAGCAGAAGATTATATGAAGTAGACAGCCCTGTTGCAGGCCGAGTGGAAGAGGAAGGTAGGGAATGGGTCATGCATTCAGCGTCATGCGACGTGGATTCACTGCAAGAGCTTTCAAGCTGCAGGTGAAGGAGGAAAAGCGAGAGAAGCGCAAAGAGAAGGTTCCAAAGGCTGGCAAGCACCTCTCCGCTGTCTAAGGTCCGTTTGCGCAAGAAGAGGAATCGGATGATGAGTGTAATGTTGGGCAGATAGCGGGGAGGGAGGTTGCACAGCTTACTAGCTCAGTGGCAAGACGTCATCCAAGCGTGCTGCATTTTTGACTCAAAGTGCCGCAAACATCATGACATGATGCACACCTCAAGTGCTCGAAGCGTGGTGGGCTTTTCCAATACAAGCAGCTCTTCCGTGGAGACATCTTCGTGGTGCAGATTAAAGTTAGGTTAAACGATGGACTTGACCAACTTCGGTCGGTGCATTTTCAATCGCCAGCAGATGCTCCTGTGTTCAAATAATGCCTGAAAAGGGATGTCTCAGTTCGTGGACATCAGCAAATTGCACCTATGTGCCCACGGGTTCTCGCACGGCAGTTTCGTGCAGTTCAGTTCGAAGGCGTGCCAGCAAAGAGCTGCGCTTCGTTGGCCATCCCGTCCCCACCTCTCACCAGCGACAGAACGAAATTATGTCGAGCAAGTGCGAATTTCGCGGACTCTTGGACGTGATAGCTAGCGCCCTCGTTGCCTCAAAGCGCAGGCGCTAAAAAAGAAGTTTCGCAAGCAGGCCGTGTATGCCTTATTCTGATGCACATGTCTGGACACATGTAGGGTATTGGCCCCACTACTGAGGCCCAGGGACGCTGACAAGTCTTTGCAGGTGAGTTTGCTAGCGATTCCTTGCACGACGTCAAAGGTTAGTGGCATTCTCTGCATAGTTATGGGAGCGGTGTCAGCAGTGCAGCTGGCCATGTACAAAGTGTCTTGCTTCGCCTGCTGAATTTGAGCTGTACAGAATAGGATCCAAGGGCAGATGAGTGGCATGCAATTCCCTAAGGTGCATGGACTCTGTGCCAAGTATGGCCCCACCCTCTTCTGCCTTTGCTGCTCAAATGTTTGCCTCGGCACTTGCTCCACCGTCTCCCCGCGGCGTGTTCATACAGCTAAGACCGCAGCCAACTGGAACAACTGCTGAAATGGATGTGCGAGAACAAAGGAACAGATGCTGTGCGCCCAAAAGGGGGCACCGTTCAAGGTGAAGCACCAGAGCTGGGCTGATGACCGGCGATCAGGGAGATTGCATGCGTTTTGTTCTTCGCGTTGCCCATTGCCAGCAAAGGGTAACACTTACCAATCGGTTCTCAAGCTTCTCTGCAGCTTTAGAGGTCAGCATGTCTCAGTCGAAAAAAAGTTGAGAAAACAGGAGCAGCAGCTGCTTGCCGGTTGCCTAGTAGGCCCCATTCTACTCATTGCAATGCGAAAGCATGACGCCACGTGATCTCAGGAGCGCCGGGCCTACTAATTGTCACCTTCCAAGCCGAGTAGTGGTCGGTACGTCGTCTCAACCAGATGCCGCCTCAGAAGCACATAAACTGCGCCACGAGCCTTGTCGAATTTTCCAGGTCTCCGTGCACACATGTAGCAGAAGGGTTCTGACTTTCGGTGTGGGGGTTCGTCGGTAACCAGTGGACACCAGCGACGTGAATTGGTGACCGCAAGCGTTCGAAGCAGCATTCGCCAATGTTTGGTACGAGTGTCCCAGCCCTTACCCACGGGGCACTGAGCCCTTGTGAGCCCTGTAAACGAAATCAGTGTGCTCACAGCCAGTCTGAAGACCCACTGCAGCTGATGAATTATGCGCAAGGAATGCCAACCGCACGAGAGTAGTCTCGCAGGTGTTTGAGGATCAGTTTGTATGTATTCTTATCAAATATGCATCATATCTTCATCATTACTTCATCGCCCTTTAGCTTATTGTTTCTAGTCATGGCGTTAATCATGTTAGTGCCGTAAGAAGGAGGCCCAGCGTCAATATTGAAACGACCTGTTGAGAGGCCTTGTTCTTAGCATAGCTATTCATTCTGGCTTGATTCCGCCACCCCTCCATAATCGTGATGCATTGCCCCTGCTTGTATGACGAATCTCGGTTTGAAGGTAGGATTTTGGAGCCTGCGGGCCACGTTGTTTGGTAGCCATTTGTAAATGAACGAGCACCACATCGAATAGCGCTGGAAGCTCAATCAAAACACAAAGCCTTGCAAACCCGCAGGAACCAGCTCCGACGCTTTCAACAAAGCCAAACGGCAACATGCTCCCTTTTCTGTTACGTGGAAGCTGAGGGGATGAGGCCGTGAGGCCGTGAGGCCTCGCGGCCGCGCCATGCTGCGGCCACAGCGATCCTTGCGGGCCGGCCGCCGCTTCAACCGCTCCAGCAACCTGACAGATTGATGGAATCCGTAAGTGCTACCGGTACCACAGGCTCTTGGCTCATCTGCACAGTGATGTCTTTGCAGTGCCTGCCTTCTGAATGGGATCGCCAGGGGCTACAAAGAAGAGCCGTAAGAGTGAAGGGATGCTCTCGTACATGCATGCCCAACCAGCAACTGTTTGCTTTATGGAAGAATGTGAGGCCTGGTTGTCGCCGTGGCGACGTTGGCTGCGCTGGGGTCTATTCTCCATCTTAATGCAGCTCTTTGTCAAGGCTGGGCCTTTGCCCCAACCACCGGTGTGCCTCGCAAACTTTGATGTCAAATTGCTGCTCACAGTGCAGCCCACAGCGTCTAGCATGCATTTGCTGTGCAATCCTTTGAAGAAGTCATTCATTGCGAACGAGTGCCACCTTGCAAACGCTGGATGAAGCCCCCACGGCCATGGCACACCATTTCTCCTGCTCTTTGCAATTGCATCCATGCTGGTGCTACCTGCATTCGGGCTCTTGTGTCCGTCATGACATTCATTCCTCGCACATCTAATATTTGCCCTGACTTTTCTTGCGGCTGTGATTGTTGTGGCAATTGCCGCTGTTGCAGCGGTAGCGTCCCTCTCGAGGCCAGAGGGCACTTGGTTCTCGAATATGCATGATGAGGCCTCACTGTTTGAGTGCCGAAATGATGCCATCACGATCCATCACGTTTTGCTTTGCCAGCGTTGTTCAACGATGGAGGGCTCATGCTGGCGGCGATGCCCTGGGAGGCGCGCTGTCCGGCCTCAGGCGCTGTGCCTTTCTGATTGGAAAAGCTGGTCTTCAGTGGTGGTTCGTGCACAGGGGACTGCTCCTTTGCTAGGCGGAACTTCTTTCACGTATCCGATGAGCTGGAGGACCGGATAAACTCTCTGCTATTTTCTTCTCCTTGCAAGCGGGGGCTGCGCAGCAGATCCAGGAGCCTTTTAAACCACTTGTGGAGCCTGGAGCCAAACTTGTCTCCATTTTTGCCAGAACCAGTCAGTTGCTGAGTGGATTGGTTGTTGTGAGGCGCCTAAATGATAGAATGATGCTCATCGAGGATGGATTGGAGAGTGCCCAAGACAAGGCTTGTGTTCCTGTCTTGTGAGTAATTTGCGTGCAACAGGCAGCAGCTGCCTGGACATCAGTACAACTTGTTTCTGAATCCCCTGCAGGTGGACCTCGTCTCGCACTCCCCGGCTGCTCCAGCACTTTGGATTGTGCTGATTGCCTTGATCTTCGCCTGTCTCATCCTGGCTTTCATTGGCATCTATTGCATCTTTACGCTCCGACTGTCATCAAGGCCGGAGACAGCAGGACGCAGTTTTGCCTACAGACCGCTATCTGGCGTTCCTTGATGAGGCCTGTCAAGGAGGTGAAGCGGCCCGCTTTGCGCGCAGTGCTTCATGCCTTAGCCATGGATTCTCCTGCCCCGGATAGAACCTTGGATGCTGAGGCCGGGTTCCACTTCCGCATCATCCCACATTCCTGCTAATGCTTAAGGATAGAGATGCATGTTTACAGTCCACGGGATAGTGGGCTGAGGCCTGCTTAGTGACGCTTAGAGTCTTTGGTCTCGAGGTGATGCGGAGGACTTTGGGAATCCTGCGACGAATTGCGCCCCCCGTGAGTTTGAGCGAGGGCCTTGTTGCTGCTATGCAACGTGAGCAAGAGCAGCGGGCTGCTGCCCTTCACGGGTCGCTGGGCTGACATTGTGTTACACAAACCACACCGTGGCTGGGACGCATGAAACTGCATGCCCTCAAGGTATTCGAGAGTGCATTTCAACCACCGGCGAGACTTCGATGGACCGTGGGATGTTGAAGCGTCAACAACTGGGCCTGCAGTGGAGGTGTCAATTGCGCTTGAGGCTGGCCACGAGAAGTATGAGAAGTAAGCTAACATCAGCTCGTGTTTGTCCAATCTAGAATCTCGGTCATAATTCGTTGCATCTCGTTGCTGGCCATATGCCGCCATGCTCTATGTGCGCCGCATGATGCTGCATATCGCTGCATGCTTCTTGCTCTTTGGGGTTCTTGAATTCTCGGGCAGGCAATGGATGTCCGGATACGGCAAAGGATGCTCAACCTGTCAACTTCACAGCTACCGCGGAGCTCTGACTTTGCAGTGCACCTGCTGGAAGAACTGACGCAGGCACTTCTGAGCGCAAACTAGAGCAAGACATAGCAAGACGGTACTGGCGGTTGACATTTCGTGCAGGCGCCGAACAGGCCGATGCCAGAGGTTGCTGAAAGCGCAGGGGAAATGCTGTTGCAGGTGCCAGCAGCGGGCCTGAATTCCAACCGTTGGAGTTACGTCCCGGCGAGGCGTTCACATCGCCAGAAGATCATCGTGCCTTGATCATTGCTCTGAATATTGCAGCGCGCGCTTTGCCTGGAAACCGCTGGCGTTTCAAGGCAAGCTTGTCCCGGGCCCGTTTTCCTATGCGTGTATGTTGGACATCAGGAGGCAAGCCTCTGCAGCCTCATGCGCTTGGGTGCTGATTCCCGTGCCATTGTTGCCGCCCAACGGTGAATGAAGACAGTCTGCTAAGGGTACTCGTAAGTTCAAAAGACAGAGCTCTTCGTGTGTTGAACTGAGGCATTGCTTCTGCACGATCTAGACGAATGCCTTGGACAGTCCTGGGCAGCCGTCTCTAAGGCGACGTGTCACGGATAAGAACGCTCAACATCCCTCTCCTGGACCAGGTCTTTGCCGACTGCCCCGAGCTAGGCGAAGAGGTTGTCAACCTCATAGATGAGAAGAAGAGGCCGATGCAAGCGATTTTCTCGTAGCGGGAACAGATGCAGAGGTCTTGCCAAGTGCCTCCAGACTTGATGCAGGCTGGAGCAGCTGGCCTTGCTTCTCTACCTACGCGCGCTCTCTGAGGAGACCAAAGCCAGTGAGTAATCGTGCCAAATCTGCGGTGGAAGTGAGGGCTTGGACCAAGAAACGGTGTTGCTGCATTTGTATCCCACCTTGCTGCCATGGCAAGCGCATGTTACACAAGGCAGATAGCGCTCTCGGCCAGGACAGTGCAACTCAATGTCACGGGCAGGTGGGCGCTCAACGGCTTTACAGAATTCTAGAGAAGTCTAGAGATGCTTCAACGAGGAGAGATTTCTGGCTTCTCAGGTGCGCCTGGCTGCGTCGCAGCTGACAAGGCTCCTGTATCTCCGTGGGTCAAAAGTTGGACTCCAAGACGGCTGTTCTCGTCTTGACTCATTGTCCGTTGAAGACCCATGTATTCCTGAGGACTTTCGCGCGGCTATGATCGAGATTGCAGAGGCGATGGGAGCAATGTTGTGAGCCCTCAGCCTGGTTGCGACAAGCACGACCAGCTTGGCAGCTGTGAGGTGGAACAGATCCTACGCAACCTCTCCACTGCTTTGGCAAGCAGGTTTGGCCTGCCAGATGAAGGACGAGCTCTGGCTCGTTGCGTCTCTTGGCTGATAGGCTTTGGCGTGTGGCAAAAACCGGCTCTTCCAGTTTGCGGGATTTCTGGTAGCTGCTTGACGTTGGGGTGTTGGAAACGAGTCTGAGACAGCGTAATACATGTAAGTGTAAGTCTACAGGCAACTGGGGGAGGCCTTCCCCGTGCAAGTATTTGTTGCCTTTCTGAGGCTATAAAGGTCATAGTCACACAGTTACACTCTGGTGCAGGCCGCTGCAAGGCTTAAGTTTCCCCTAGCAAGACGCTTCATCTAAGCTCTGTATCCGGACATTTCCGGATACTGTGTGATGCAACAAGGTTGTTGGGAGTTATTGCTAAACTGGATTCCCGAGCCTAATTTGAGGCTTTGGACCTGCACGTCCCTTTGGCCCATGGCCTTGGCTTTGATGCGCTGGCTGGGGGCTCAAACACACCCGTCAACACAGCAGCTGCTTTGATGCCTTTGCTGGCTGCAGGTTCACAATGGTTTTCCTGTCAACGAGCGGATTACCCCGTCGCTTGAGAATCGCGCGCTGCGCTTGTATTTTCCGGAGGAGTACAGCATGATTGAGGCGCGGACGTGTCTACCAGCTGATCTGCAAAGTTCACGCCAACTTTGCCCATCAAACGATTGGGGCTTGGGGGTCATGAGATGTTACCAGGTGCATGTCTCGATTCTCTTTTCGACTGAGAGTTGCACTTCATCCCATAGAGGAGTAACCACAGTCAAAGGAAGCTACGGAACATAGTCTCATGGCAGTACCACAGCATGACCATTGCCAGGCAGGTGGAAGCAGGCAAAGAGCCGGACAGTGAATTTGAGTGAGAAGCTCATTTTGACTTGGGAGGCGTGGATGCGCGAAGAAGATGAATTGCTCAATCGCACACTTCAGAGATGCCTCCGAGAAGTTCGGAGAGCACTCGATGCGGATCCTGATGTTGGCGCGCTGGCTACCTGCAAGGCAGGGCATGTACTCTACATCCCTGAACGCTCTGACGTAAACGCGGCCATGGTGCATTGGATTCAGGTCTGCTGTACCGGTGTATGCACTTCTATTCTGTTAACCTTCAGCAGGATACTACCGTAGTAAGTGGGTTGCAAAATAACCCCAGTATTAGATTGAGGTAAGGATAGGCCCGCAATTGCATCACCATCTTCATTTCTTGGAAAAACGATAAGGAGGGAAGAACAAACGATAAAATATAAGGAAGCACATCTCAATCTTACCCCGTCATAACCTCAAGCCCCAGAGCCTACACCGCAACGTCCCTGAGCTGGGCCAGAATTTGTGAAACACGTGATGTCCAAAACGATAGTAAAACACTAATCAAAATGATAATGTTGATTTCCCGCAAAAAGGATTTGCCAGCCGCGGTAGTTCCTGCCAAAGTTCTCACTGCCACCGCAAGCGAAGGGCTGAGGATCCAGAGGAACAGTCGCAGAGGCGATCTCTGCAGTAGAACGAAGATCTGTTCTGGCAAAGCCTCAATAAGCTTATCTCCACAGTGTTGACCCTAAACCTTATGCTAAGCCCAAAGCCCAGATACCTATCGGCGTGCAGCGCCAGCACCATGACATCTCCAGTACTGACATATACTAGAATGATGTAGTAGTGCCGAAACACTGTAAAAGCATAAAGAGGAGAATAAACCGATAATGTTGTGCAGGGATAAGAGATTTACCTAGGGGTTATTTGGCAACCCCAAGTAGTAGCCGCGCTTTAATATGGCTGTGTAATGAACAGCTGTGCGATGCAGGTCAGAGGCCGAGTGAAAAGTGTTTACAGCATCGTGAAGAAGCTTCTACGGCAGCGCGGTGTTTCGCGCGAAGATCTCAAAGCTCAAGCCATCAAGGCCAGACCAAAGGTTTGCTTTCCAGTTCTGCCGTTTGGGACAAGGAGCATGCACAGCCACTAGTTGCACCAGCTGTCACTAATTGGCGCGTATTGCTCGGACCTCTAGCCTTGGTTCAACTTGATCTGAGCTGTTTTGCGCTCTTTGTATTTCTTTGTTCATGGCTGCTCCCGGGCAAATCTCAAAACTAGTAACTTTATCCACGATTTTGGGGCAGAGTGCTTGGCGGCATGCCAACGAACCAAGCCACGGCAAATTACATGGAGATCAGGGCAGCCGGTTGCAGATCGGCTTGGCTGCGCTACGGCCACGGGAGCTTTCACGCATGGGCCAACCTGCACAGCCTACTCTTGAATCTGTCTGTCACCGTCAATACCAGTTCCGGCTGGCTGGCAAGAGACTCTGGACAAATATGCCAAACCAACTCAAGGTCTCTGCTCAGCATCAAGGCAGACATGACATGGACCATTAGGAAAGCAGCCCCTAAAGCACGCCAAGCATGTGAAGGGAACGGGTCAGTTGCTGCCTGCAGTGACTACAGATGTGGTATGATGCGCATTCACAATCGGACAGGATTTGCTTGCTGTCGAAGTGGTCGTGGACCCCGATCCATTCGCAGAGGCACATGCCGTGTGATGGGCATCGGCATGACTTCGGGGCTCTGAGCGAATGCCCCTCTCAAAGGTGCCCAAGAATCCCGAGTGGCTGGCAGAAGAGTGGCGAGAGAGAGCCGCCTGCTTCGCGGTTCTTGATGCGCTGCAGCGCTACGCGAAGACAACGAAGGGATGGTCTGTTCTGCCTGGGTCTACCAAGGCAAGGCACAACCACACTTCTGCACAGAACCAGAGCATTCAATCACATTATGATTATGGCGCACATGTTTCAGAGCAAGCTTGCGTCTGATCTCAGTGATCATCAGCCGGCAGCATGGCGTCGCCGGTGAGGACTACATCACCAAATCCAAGAAGAGTGGCTACCGGGCTCTTCACATAACACTGTGCACCAACGCTCTAAGCTTATGGCTAATGTGTCAGTTTGTGCAGATTCAGACAGATGCAAGACGACATACTTAGATATTAAGGTCACAACGCAGATGCCGAAGGCATCGAGCCGGGCCATCGCCCAGCTGCGAACCGTTGATACGATGCCTTGCAAGCTCGAGGCGGCCCGCAGCCGAACGTATCGGAACGGTATCAACTTCAGTCTGTCAGAGCTTCCTGCGCGCATATGAGAGCAGGTGCACGTTTTCTCTGGCTCCATGAAGCAGAAGGAGCGCAAGGGGCTAGCATCACATCACCTCTACAAGGCAGGAAATTACACAGTCCGAGGTTTGCAGAAGCCAGATTCACATGCAGGCTTTCGAGTTGGGACCCGATGAGATCTTTGCTTCGCTGGGGGGACGGGCAGCCCGTTCCTTGTAGTCCTTGAATGCCCAGTCAGGTTCCCGAAGTCGGACTCGTAATTTTCTCAGGCAGATTCCATAGCTCCTTCCGAGCTTCGGCGGGCCGTCTTCCCCCTGGAGCGCTTGCATCTTTTCGGCGAGGCTAGATTCGCTAATATTCCCTAAGAATACTCAAGCAATCCTGCCACGAACATCCACGGGCATCCCACGCAAAAACACAGCCTGGAGTGCCGCGAACGTTTCAGGCTTTCAGTGCGGACTACATGGACCGCGAATTTGGGGAGCTGTGTTCCAGCTGTGACCGCAGCCAGGTCTCCCTGCCCAATTCATCTGACGTCACATTTGCATGCAGCATTGCATCAAGAGTTGCATAGCAAATATAGCTATGACACAGGCGCAGCTTGAATGCCAGGACGGCCGCCTGACCTTTGTCGATGTGCAGACAGCTCAGCAGCAGGCCTCCAAGCGGCTTGAGGACAGGTCTTTGCTGAACTTCATGCGTTTTTATTGTCTAGACCTGCGGAATCCTTCGGCGGAAGACGACAAGCATGCGAGGACTTCCGTCGAGCTTTGGAACAGCGAAATGCCAACTGGTGGGTACACCTGGCCAGGTATTCTGTTCGATGCCTTGTAGAAGCTTCGCATACGTGATGGCCAGGTGCATGGGGTCCAAACAGTGGACTCATCTGCACCTTTAGGGACGGCCTCCTGGGATTGGGCCAAGCATCCTGGCCTGCAATCTTCTGCGCAGATAGAACTGCTGAGAACAAATGCGGAGTGGTAGAGCCCTGTGAGGCCTGACTGCATGCATCAGTTGCGACCGGTCCGTGAACTGTCAGGTATGCAGCGGAGCTGGATCCACAACAGAAGGTGGGAGACTTTTGAAAGTCTAGCTTGGCTTGCATGATAGCACAGGGCGATGAACACAGGAATACCGTCGTAAGTAATCCCTTCCCCCCAATATTAAACGACGTCCCCCCGCATCATATTAGATAATCCGGGCCCCGAGATCTTGTTTAATATTAGGGGTGGACATTTCCAATGAATTATTGAAGGAATTAGATAGGGCTGCCTTTAAAATCCGCTCCAATTCAATGGGAAAAGATAAATTAATTGAAATAAACTAATGACTTAAGTTGAATAAGTAATTAGATACTTATTGAAATCAATTGATCATTAGTTGAAAATATTGAAAGCTAATTTAGATTCTTTTAAAAACTACTTGAAATCATTTGAAATCTAATTAAAATTCCTTTTAAGCTCAATTGAAATCGAATTAAAATCCACTTAGAATCAACTGAAACTGAATTAGAATTCTATTAAGAACCAATTGAACTCGAATTAGAATCCATTTGAAATCACTTGAAATCTAATTTAATTTCCTCTGAAATTCAATTGAAATCGAATTATAATCCATTTAAAATCAGTTGAAATTTATCTAGAATTCTATTAAAGACCAATTGAGATCGAATTATAACCACATCTAATTCAAATTCCTTTTAAAATCAATTGAAATCTGTTTCAAGCTCCCTTTAAAATCAATTGAAATTTAATTAGAACTCTGTTAAAGTCAATTGAAATTGAGTTAAATGTAATTAACACTCCATCACAAGTTAGCTGAAATCGGAGTAAATTCGAGTTCAAGTCAATGAGAATCTAATTCAATTCCATTTGAAATCATTTGAAGTTTGATTAGAATGCTACCAAAACCAATTGAAATCGCATGAAACTCAAATGAGATTCAAGTAAATACAGCGGCTAAAATAGTAATGAAATCAATCAAAATCCCATTCAGTTCTTGTCTATAAAATTCTTCACTAAAACCATATGAAAAACAGTCAACACCTAGGAAATGAAGGGGATGGCTAGTTCCTTTGTATTTCTTATGCTTCCTCATGACCTCAACACCACCCTAATTCATTATTGGATGGCCCCTTTTAAAAGTTTTCTTCCCCTTTGAAACTAGTCTTCTGGATTTTTAGGCCCCTGAATTTATCGGGTTTTTTTAAATTAGAGAGAAGGGATCGATCACATTCAGTCACAGTGACTTTTTGAAACAGCCAGCAGCAGCCACGTTGTGAGGGAACCAGCAGCAGACACTGCGAATCCCAATTCAGCCCGAATACAAAAATTGCATCAATAACCTTCATGGCGATGCTCGTTGTGGTGTTTAGCGTCGAGTTCTCAAGTTTTGCTGCCTGAGCCAAGCTGTTCCAGCAGCAAGCCAACGCAATGCTCGCACGCTTGCAGGTGTCGATGTTGCACAAGGCATTGGACATGACCAAGGAGGCTCATGCTGGACAGGCCCGCAGTCTTGTGCAAAGCGCATGAGCCTCTCCAGTACGTCTTGCTTCACATGGAAGAGTTCCGCGCAAATAGCAAAACACACCTTCTTTCCGCAACATTCCTCGTTGCAGGAATCATAGCCGCATCTTAGCCATGTTGACCTCCCTTGTTATTCCACATGCCCACGCTTGGTGATGCTCGCATACCCGGAGAAGGAAGTTGAGGAGTCCTGACCTATTCTTCAGTTCCAGTGCATCGCGACCCCAAATTTTCAGCCTCGCCCTGTTGTGGTACATCGTCGCCTTTGTTCAGGCCGCATTAACAGTCAGCACGATTCCTTGTCGGGCCAATCAAAAAAGTGTTCTGAGGGAGATGGCAGCGGAAAATGCCAGAACATACAGTAGTCACGAATTGCCACGAGCGTTTTCAAGACAAGTGGCCAGGGCCCAGGGTCTGGAGATATGCGCAGTTCCAGCCCTGGCGCCGAGAAGCGCAGGCTGAGACACGCAGCCGTGTCCGAAGCGCCTTAGTGCCAGATGGTCATCAAATCCCAGTTGCACGTAAATTTACTCGTGAAGCGGCTCTGCTAAAAGCGATTTGAGCGGAATCGAGCTTGCCTCGCCCAACTGCCATGCTCACCAACCTGGATCCGAAACTTCACCCACAGCCGTTCCGGAATGCAAGAACAGGCGTTCTTGCTTTTGTTTGTATGGCATCTCACTCCTGATAGCATCCAAGTGCATCATACTCGTAGAATTCGACAGATTTGCTTTTGTTATGCAATCCTGACAGGTCAGAAAATCAGGTGATCCATACTGGACGCATCCGCTAGCTGTCGCTGATATTCTCGCCGGAGCCTCAAGAATCCACCTCTTCCTAACATCCCGGCTTGTGCAAGCTAATTAAGTCAGTTGACATGTCTGATGCAATACATGCTACATGGTAGTTAATTCTCATGTTTGCTCCTGAGCTTGGCGAACACAAACACGCATTTGAAAAAACAATCTAAAGCCAGGAGCTTCGTTCCATACCCATTCCAGACCACACACACGCACATTCACGTGAGGAGGTTTTGTTTATGTTTCGGCTAGTTTTCGGCCAATGTGTCGGCAACACAAAACTTGAGAACAACCTCAAACATGTTCGCCGGACTGTGGCCGCGAAAGGACCGGGAAGGTTCGTGGAAAGGGAGGGCTTCGCGGAAGGGTCGCGGAAGGTTTCATGAGTAGCAGATACTTTGTGAAAGCGAATAGATTCGTGGATGTTCGCGGAAGCAACAATTTGCAGCATATCAAAACTTGAGGATGCTGTGGCCTAAGTATAAAAACCACCGCTCATTTGTCTGTGAACTCAACAATTACTGGGCAGCCATTTCGCGGCACGGGCCTGTAACCGAATTCCCAAGCTTGCAACAAACAGCCGCCTTTTGCGAGAAAGTTTTTTCTTGGGATGCATGCATTTGTCAAGCATTCGCGACAAAGGTTTGTAACAGCAGGCCCTGGCGTAGATGTCTGTCACACGTGGTAGAAGTTCCGTGGAAGGGGGCCCGGGACAAAACGGGACTTTGATCCACAACCAGTGGTGAGCTCTATGTGGCAACCACTCATCCCTTAAAGCCTGCAGCCAGCTAACAGCAGATGCGTGAGAAGAGTAGGAGGGCAGATACGGGAATGGACCACTGAAATTTTGAATCATGCTTTTCACTGCTGACTGTCAATGTGAAATTGCCAGACTTGTACAAGATCCAGTTTTGGCGTAATTCGGTTCACTGTTTCTTTCCGAACGAGTCACTAGCTGATTGACCGTTGGTTATGACACTGCCATTCTCGTACACATTGCGGGCCTTTTTGATTAAATCCTTGTATTCCAGACAATCCGGATTCAGCAAACCTGATGATGCGGAGTCCCGAAGGCCCCCCCTGTTCCATACAAGTCCCAACTATGTTTGTCTATGCCAGCAGGTAGCTTTATAAGGCAGACAATTTTGAGTTTCTCATGACAGGCGCGTGCGTTGCTCCCTCCTGACTCTACACCACCTGAGCCTCGATGGCAGTTGGATGGCCCAGCTGCGCTGGAGCAGGACCGGCCCAGCACTGCAGCATTAACAAAACGGCTTCTAGGACTTTTGCAGGTGTTTCTGGTGCGGTGAGTGCACTGTCAGGATGCTCAGAAACTGTGGGCTCGGGTGGCAGACGGCCCAGATGACATTTTCGCAATGTGCCTGGACCGTCCATTGTTCATGAAACTGTCAGACATGGCATGACATGGCTACTTGTGACGAGAAGGGGGATAAGGGGGTCATGCCTGAGCCTGTGTGAATGCAGGTACACAGCAGCCCTGCTGCACGACACCGTCGAGGCAGGTTACAGTTACGAAGCTGATTCGAAAAATCAAGCACAACACTCGAGCGACGCTTAACTTGCATCAGCTTTTGCAGGACACCAGTGTCACATTGGAACAGATAGAGGCCAGAAACTGACGATGTCTGACGATGATGATGTTGTCGGGCAGTGTGCAAGCTGGGCCACGTTAACAAAAGTTGTGTTCTGGTCGAGCGTTTCCTGTCAGCTAATTCCGGTCGAGTGTTTCCTCTTCAATGTGAAAGAAAAGGCCGCGCCATCCAAAGTGACTTTGCAGGGTGCCTTCGGACCTGTTGTGGCTTCACTGGTGGACGGCGTGACCAAGGCCTCTGAATCTTGGTAACCATCGCATACGCTGCGGACGAGCGTGGCTTTAAAGACCTGACGTGCCAGGCATCTCAAGCATCTTGTACAAAGTCAAGAGTGTCCCGTTCGGCACAGGACCTGCGTAAGGTGCGCGTGGGAGTTGAGTTTCAAGTCCTTGCAAAGCGCCCGCCAGCAGAAAGCATTCGGATTTTGCTTGTCAGAATTTGGGGCTGCAGACGCAGGTGCTGACGCGTGCTGCTCAAGATGTTCGAGTCCTGGTCATCAAGTTTGCTGATCGCTTGCACAATATGCGCACGCTGGAGCCCCGCCAAGTGTCAGATACTTGCAAACTTGCAGCAATTTGGACCTGCAAGCCGACTCAGCTGGTGGCCTGCGTCACGCACCGAGTTTTCTTAGATGATGCCGACATAGCGGCACGGTAGGCGCTCCGAGTGGAGCTCAGGCACAGCACTGTGAAGGTTGTTAAGAGTGAGTACTCATCTTTTTCTTACTTGTTGTACTGATTCTTGTTCACTGCTTGCTTGACTGTGGTGGCTGCAAGGAGCACATGCCAGCTTCGAAGCAGCGCAGAATTGTCAGAGTCTGAGGCACCGGTGAGATAGCCAGGATATGCCAGCATCTTTTTCAAAAGGTCGACGTTATCCAGGTACATGTTACACTGTTACACGCCAGCTAACTATGCTGGAAGCAAGGCTGAAGAGACACGGGCCGTGTACGTTCCTCTTGCAGAGAGATTGGGCGTTCACATTTGGAAGACGGAGTTTGAGGACCCGTTTTCTATAGAAAGTTATGGTCCAGACAAGATGAAGGCTGCTAGCAGCTCTAAGCTGGCGACGGCCGTGCACTCCCCCGGGTGTGCTGATTACATGCCCTTACTCTGTAAATTAAGCTGGATTGGGCCCCCTGAGATTTTCGGTCAGCTGCAGTCCAGGGGTTCACGTTGTAGTCTATCTCGGGGCTGTTGGAGAAGATTACTGAACGACTAGGTGACATGTAAGCAGCTGCTGTGCGCATGCAATAAATCTGCGACATTGATTGTTGGGGCCGCCTTTAATCTTGGGGGTCCCTCTCTAGCAATAGGGCCCCAGAAAAGCAGAAGATGTGGATCCTCAAAAGGGCCGCTCAGCCTTCAGTGGTTTTGAGGGCCCTACGGATTTGTTAAAAGTGGCTGATGTCAATTCTGTTTGGATTGCAAAGTCAACATACGTTATAGAGGGCCTTAGCCCACAAAGAACAACATGGAGGGCCTCTTCACCAAAGGATGTCCAACAGTATCTGCAGTGACACAGCAAGTGAGAGGGAAACAGGGGCATGTTTTCCAGTTTGGCACACACCACCGCGTTAAAAAAAATCGGCATCGGAAGCGGTTCGTATTCGAAGTCCCTTGTACCTACTGCGTAGTCAGAACTGCTGTTATAGAGTTGCTCCACTTGGAAGTCGGGCTGCAACATCAACAATACTCAACAATCGCATTGCAAAGTTTTGAGCCACGGACACGAAGGGATCCCACATGCCGTTTTCAATGACTCTGTTAGTCAGGAGTAATAAATGTGCTACTTTTGTAGTTCCACCGGAGACCCAAAGGCTCAGCGTTGGGAGTCTATGGGGAAAAGGGGTTGCTCCTGCGGTGCCTAGTTGGATAAGAACTTTTTGAAAGGGAGCAGTATGCCCCAATGAGCCCCATGCAAAGATGAGGTACTGTGAAGTCCAATCAGGAGTCAGGCTTGGCGGGTTGCTCGGCGTTTTGGTGCATATGTACAAAATGCCTTTAGGGCAAGAAACATCGCTCATTGCTGGGCAATCCAAGCCTAAACTCTCCTTTTGTTGTGGGGGCATTTGTGACAAGGTCAGATTTTTTGTTGGCGGGGGGCGTGGGATGGCACGAGGGTGGGGCTTCTTGCAGGGTAGGACAGGGAAAGTCGACCAGATCCTGGTCCGAATGTTCCAGACGCCGGTTGGCCGGAGGCGGAGGCAAATGATGGCCCGACTGGACGAACTGCTGTACGTTGTGGCCTCGAAGATTCTGATCGGTTAGTTTCCATTCGCTTGCTGTTGCCTACTGCAACTTGCCATGCATGGTCAAGTCCCAGGTGAGTGGGTAACATTCGGCATCATGTGGCATGGCCAGCTGCCATGAAGTTGCATACACTTTCACCAATGAGCCAGAGAACGTATCGTCATGTGCATGCCCCGATGCGATCGCAACTCTTTGAATTGGGTAGCCGGCTTTCCATGTCCTGAGTGTCCTTTGTTTGCGCATCCATGGGTTCAAGGAGCTCTGCTGCCGCTATCTAAACGGCTGTGCATACGAGGCAAGGCTTGAAGCATCCTTATTCTACATTACCACACCCAGACTGCATTTATTGTGTCTTTATGCTCGAGCCTTCTTTGTAGGAAGTCTTGGAGCGCAATCGACGATCGCAGGCCCGTACCGGTTCTTCCTGACATGGTATGGTCTGGTTGGCGAAAGAAATCATGGGGGTGCGTGTTTCTATGACTTACACTTGTCTCGCAGGTTGCTAGGCAGCGCCATCGTCGGTACATACAGCAGTACATTCGGACGATGATGGTGCCAGCCTCAAAACGACTGTCCAGTGGCATCTTTTTGCTTCGAAGGAGAAAGCCAATCTCGCTGAGGTGGAGATGACCTCCGACTCGATTCTAGAAATCTCCGTGCGTGAGGCCCTAAACCCTAATTCTAGGCAGAATCGTGGGTTTGCTGAAATCCTTTTTGCCTTTTTTTGAGGAGCCACCTCACACACAGCTGCGGCGGTGGGCAGATCGTCCAGAAACTGACACTCCACAGCCAATCCCACGGGTGCGAATTGTAACAAAGGCGCCCCTCTCCGATGGACTTCTTGCACCAGCACATGGTATGCCGCAGGACCGTGACGCCTGCTGGGCGTGTCTAGGACGAATCCACTCCATCTTGCCGCCAATGTCTTCGTCTTACCTAGACCTAGACGGCATCGGCCAGGTTCCTTAGTTGATTCCCTTAGCAATGAGGCCCGGAAGACTGCGAGACTACATATCCTCGCCAAAAGTTCGGGGCTCATCGTCACAACAACTGTGGAAGAGTGCTAGATTGCCAGATTGCAAGATGTTGCAAGGTGAGCACCTCTCAGCTAAGGAGAACCTTTACATGTGCCTGCACACAACCGTGTTGATGGATGGTACGGCAGTGGAGGCAAGTCAGATGTGTGCAAATCGATTTGAAGGAAGTGTAAAGCGTCCAAGGTCTACATCCTGAGCTTGGAGATGGAGTGGGTCGCGGAGTTTGGAGTTGGTGCCTTCTGGCGCCATAATGAGGCTTGAAGTGGGGTGGAGACCTCACATGACCTTGGACGTGCGAGTGTGACAGGACCTGCAGAGAAGTGAAGCTGGAAGAGGCTTTCTGGCGGCGTTGCACTCCACGTGGATTTTGCAGGCATTCACACTGCGCACTTGTCTGGATCCCTGTTGAAGCACTGAATCACTCGTAGCTCTCTGCAGGCCAACCAGTCTCTCACGCACAGCTTGCATTCTCTGGAGGCGCGCAAAATCTGAATTCAGGTGCTGCAAGATTTGCTGAAAAGGCCATGATGGCATTCTTAAGGGTGGTTTGGCAGGATGCGCTCTGAGGCAGTGCTGTGGGCCATACACTCACAACTGTACTGAACTTGTGGCAAGTCAACCCATCCGCGAACCGCATGCATGGCCGTGGGGATGCAAAGTTGAATCTTCGCAAGAGTCGCTCCTTAAGTCACGTTAGCTGCGTGCTCTAGCAAGCTTTCGCTGACATCTCGTGCACTCAATCCACTCGACCAAATCACAAGCTGCATCAATTACTGTAAGAACCTGGGAGGTACATAGACTGCACGGGGCGCTTGACAACTAATGCCCACCAAGTGGTCAATAGGTCGGGAGAAACAAGCATGAAAGCGATGATGCACTCATGAGCCGTCTTGGGGCCAGCGGCAGTGACTGAACCAAACCCGGAATTGCACAAACCTAAATGATTCAAACAAACCGTTGCTTCATAAAGGAAAATGTTTTGAGCATCTTTAAACTTCCAAGAATAATACATGGAAGGCAACTTCGGCGGCCTTCTACTTGGTAGCAAGACTATTCCCAAAGATGGTGGGTCTGGCAGGTGTCGATGGAGCCGTCATCTTTGCCGGCATCCTCAAATTCGAGCTACAGGGAGCCACCGCAGCCTCAACCACTCCAAAGTTCCATGGCTCCAGCAAGTTGGAGCCTACAAGATTCTCTCAACTCCCGTCGAAATGGCTCAAGCTCTTCACGCTTCGTGGACAGCTTGAGCTCACCTGGGCCAAAGAGCTCTGTCAGCCCACTGAATGATTCCTCCCAGCGATTCGACCTGGAAAGTGAGCTCGATGAAGAAAGCTCTCAGGCACGGTTGCAAGCTGGGGATGGCTGGGGTGCTGATTGGTGCTTTGAGGCTGATGATCCAGGAGCCTCCGCGGAGCAAGAAGATGGTTTGCACGCACATGCGTTTGATCAACTTCGTAGATGCATCTTGAGCGAAAGCTTAACAGGTACGCTGTGCAGCCACTGTTAGCCCGGCATGGTTGAAAGAAGTGTGCTGATGGTGCTTTGTGTTGCACTGCTCAGCATTTGCCAGACTGCAACGTATCTCCAAAGTAGCTTCTGACTTTGCCGGCGACACAGGCGTGCATAGCTCCCTGCAGCCTTAAAGCATCTTAATAGGTAAATTGCTTGTCGTGTGTTTGAAGGTGCTTGATCCATCTCGATCAAACTAAGAGTGACGTGCTCTGTTCAGGAAGTAAGGAGCGCGATGAGGGTGAGGCCGCTCCACTTCCAATAGCATCAAATCGCCTTGCACAGTGTGCATTTGTTGTTGAATTGTGTAATTTTTGTGTTTTGGAAAAAGTTTCAGCGGTCAGCTGATTCGCTAGGGCTGCATAGGCTACTTGGGAATGAGGACAACGCTGGCATCCGAGCCCCTGCCAGGATTGAAGCCCGAAAGCCTTTCAGTTTCATGTGCTTCGGCAGTCATGGACTGGCCGATTGCGTGAGGTAAGAGTGATTTGGAGCTGATCTGACTGGTGGGTTGATGGGTGGACGTGGCCGGCATGTTAGCCTCCGCTTCGGCAGCATTGCGAAACAGAGAAACGGGAGCCAAGACGGCAAGTGTGGACTGGCGACTGGCGACCTTTTTTTGGGGGTGGGTCCAGGGGAGGAAAGGGGAAGCCTGGCTTGGGGGGATTGTCTCGGCAATTGCTTGCTCCTTTTGCATTTCGTTCCGAGTGTGAACCAGCCTGCACTGTCGTGCGATGTCGTGCGCTGCTGGCTTTGGCAGGTGAAGCCGCCAAATCAGGTAGTAGTCATAATGTGATTTCTCATTCTGGAAGTCCAGCATTTCTTCAACCATTTACAAGACGTTTGTGTTGGTCTTCGAGAGTGCTTCTGGTAGGATAGCGGCGAGCTGCTCGCAGAGCTGCATCGTGCCTACAGTGAGGCCTTCTTGAGCCTTTTGCGCACGTCGGCCAACATGCCGAGCATTATAATTAGACCTCGCGCAATTATGGGTCTGCTCGGATGGCAGGCTCTGCGCGAGAAAGTAGCTGTGTTTACTCCAACAGGCGTGTGGCCCTTGCCAAGCAGTCCTGAATCCTACACAAAATTACGTCTGCATGCTGTGTATGAGCAGGGCGTGTGCTTTACCTTCCTCGTGATGCCACGCCGCTCGACTTTGCTGTGTGGAACCTTGGCGCGAAGAAGGCAAGCTTTTTCGTTGAAAAGTAGCAGATGTTTTGTTATGTTGCGATTGTTGAGAGTAGGGAGGTGTTCCGTTCTTGACAGGGGCTGCGGGCAGAAGCTGCTTTCATCGACAGTAGTGAGGCGACTCTCAACACGAGGCTGCGAGAGGCAGCCGGCTTAGCAGCACCGGTTGCATGGAAGATGCGATATTCAGTCAGCAATGCTACGCCTGCGACAGGGTCAAACGGTTTTGGTCCATTTGCATGATGACGAGAAGCTTCTCCCGCCACTCGAGTGGTCTGGAGTCCATCTCAGGCTGGCTGTCTTGAGTTGACGCACGGATGTAACTTGCTGTCACCATCTTTCTGAAGCATTTTCTTTCACTTCGCACTCCAGGTATCTGCGCACAACCCGTGCTCGAGCGGCGCTGGTAGACATGAGGATCCTTTTGGAACTGATTGGCTTACCTGGTATGATCCAGAAGCCTGCAGCACAAGGATTCTGCCAGTGATGGAAGCATGTCATGCACCAGGACCAAAATGCTGTCAGAGTCGCAGGCGGTGGAAGAAGGACGGGGTCAGCACTTCCGTTCGGGTCAAGTCTTCATGACAGCAAGCGCAAGATGCGCAAGGACGTGAGGCAATCCGTAGAGAGCTTGCTCTCCATAGCCTCGTGCTTAGCCACCCGGGATCCGTCGCTACAATCTTCCTCCTCGGCTTTCTGTGCTTGAATTGCTTCTTATCCTTGCTTGAGCAGTGTGACATCAAATGTCCAGGTCTGGACCTGTCACTTCGGCAACAGCTCGGTGACAAGGTGCTTGCGGCCCTTGGCAGGGTGCTTAACACGTCACCGCAGCTTTGCCTGAAGCTAAGTGTGTGAGGCCGCGGCGCATTGCCTGTCGAGCTAGTGAGTGGTCAGCTGTTGGCTGCCAGGCGATGGCCTCAAACTACTCAAGATTCGGCTCAAGCGTAGACATCCCCAAAAGAAAGCTAAGGCTGCACATGCCGTTAGGTGACGCCAGCTACGAGTGACCTTCGCAGTGCTGCAACCCATTTTGTTTACCATGTCTTGCCTTGAGTCCGTAGCTGAAGCCCAACTCGTCTGCGACGTTTGATTGCACAAGACGGAGACAAGGAGCTTCTGAAAGCTAGTTTCGGTGTAGCCCAACTCCGAACAACGAGACAAAAGTAAGCCTGAATGGAGTCTGAATCGCGCATTCCTCGTACAACCTCGTACACATCCTTTGACCCCGCATAGCTCCATTTTGGCGATGTCACGCATGAAAGGTACACGGGTAACGCTGGTGTGGTTTCGTCTCCTGGAGAGGTGAGGGTAGACGGCAGGTGATTGCAGCAGTGCGACCGCTGCCAGGCCTACAAACAGTGCTTCATGCTGGTGGCAGAGGACTTTTCACGCATCATTACGCAAGTATTACACATCTTGACGCGCTTTGCCTTGGTTTGGAGCTGAGCTGAGAGCGCAGAGATGCGCAGAGGACAAGCCTGGGCTTCTGGTGGACGTGGTGGCCGTCGTGCGCTGGATGCTTAGCCTAGCCTGGCGGCTAGCATTGTTCGGAAGTGCTCCAGTGCTCCCTGCCCCTCAATGGCATCGTAGCAAGGTGACTGCGGCCTTGACTTTCAACGTTTCAGCGCAGAACCCTGTGGCGATGGTGTTGCTCCCAGGTTTAGCAGATGTCGCGGAAGTGCGACTGTAGCACAAGTCGTGCCTGCTTGCTGCGGTCGCTTGAGTTAAGGTTTGTGTGTCATGGCTTGGAACCTAGTATAGACGACGAAACGCCGCAGGGCGAACAAGGAAGCTTTTAAGCATGGATCCATGGATGAAGATAGTGTTCTCAGGTCGCGGCTGTACAAACCGACTGCGCGCTAAGATTCGGATCGCTTATGCACAATCTACGGCCTTGGTCTTAGCTTGGAGAAAGTGGGTCCGGTTCATCAACTGAAGGAGTGTGAAGCATGTGCTGGTATAAGGGGGGGGGGGGTGTCATACAGTACTAGCACACTGCACTAAGATACCGTGCGGAACCTGTGCTGTGCTTGCCTCAGAAGCTGAAGTAGCGGTTCCTTCAGCGGCTACGGAGAGTTTTCACGCGAAGTACCCCACTCTTTTTGCACAGCCCATGGGATTATCAGGCTTCAGCGGTTGCCCACCGAACTGGCAGGGGAAGCCTTGGAGGAGTGGACACTGAAGGCCCGTTTACTATTCCTCAAGCTTTGCAACCTCTGTCTGTCTCTGGTTGCTGGATGGGATGAGTTCCTAGCCTGGTAACAAGTTCAATTTTTCAAGTTCTTCGGGCGACGTTTCGCCTCTCGTTCTGTATGGTTTGTTGAGCTCCCTGCACTGCATGAAGAGTATAATAGGTGCCCGAGCCCTTGGCGGACCTGTCCGTGTGGAGCTGGAAGCACGAGGACATGCCGCGCACTCTTTGCCAGCCTCCATTGTTGAAGCAAAACTGGGTGTGCGCGACAGGCGCTGAAGATGGTAATGCCAAGCCCCATGAAGGCTGTCCAGCCAGCATGACGTTCCAGCAGCCTTCTGGGTTTGGCCGTTTCGGCAAAAAAAGTGTAGTTTTCCAAGACTCCATCCTCATTTAAATCGTGTCCTGCATTTTGTTTGATTTGTACGATTTGTTGTGCAGGGCTAGTTTTATCCCCATTAGCTCGCAAGTCTCTGCCTGAGCAAAAAGATATTTGAACGTGGCCCATGTGCCGCAGACTGTGCTGTGCGGAGCCAATGTGTGCGCAGAAGGCTCAGCATGGTCTGGCAAATTATTCTAATGGTGATCCATGAACGTTAGCAGTTAGCTGGCGGCATTGGACGCAACTTACCAGCAAAGGTTCAAGACTGCCTATTGAAAAAGGGCACAAACTCCTGGCAAGACTGGCATGGCCGACAAAGTAGCAAAGGACGGATTTACCCTCAGAAGCTGAAAGCCATGGATTACTGGACAGATAGCGTTGAGAGTGCGATCAGTGCTGTGCAGCAGGCCTGCGCCCGAACAGTGCCATACAACATGTACAATAAGCTTGCTGTAGCTAGGGGTCTACAAGCTTGATTGCTGCATCTCAGTTGTGAGGTGATGACTCATTCCGGCCTTTCATCGGAGTGGACTGCTGGGCACTGTTTCGCGCTGTGGCAGAGTTTTCATTCCTGAAGGGTTCCACACCGCGTGAGGACCAGTGTCTTGTGCTCCAAGCTTCGGAGGTCTTTGACTCAACTCCAATACCTGGCCAATGCATAGGATTGCCGTGTCGTATCAAATTTGCAAATACGTTCAACCAATCTGAATGGCCTGCAGCCAAGGCCCTCGGAGCTCTGCCCTGATGTCCGCAGGGTATTTGGCTTACTTTCCGCAGCATGTCCTTGCCAATTTTGTGGTGATTGCCCTGCGATATCCAGGTTCTTGAGAAGAACGGCTGGACTCGTGGTTCAGTTCTTACTGCTTATGCCGAGCTCGCTGCTTCATGATGTTGATGCCTGTGTCTACGATGTGAAATGGAAGCAAGATGACAATTCTGTCACATGTGCAGCCAGCTGTGAACGTAGTGCTGCGCAAGCTAACGGTGAACTCATTCAATTTGCCTTGTTAATTTTTTTTGATGGCCGGCTGCCATTTAGAGCCGCATTGCTCATTCATTTGACCTTTGCTCACGGTCGTCGCGACCGTTTCCCGGGTACAGCAAGATCGGCTTGGCCCTATCAATGTTGTATCCTTTGCAAAAAGCTGCAAAAGAAGCAGGCTGGAAGCAAATGTGGCCACATGATTCCGCATACATGCGCACAACTTGGCAACAAGGACAATGAGTCATCTGAAACCTTGGCCAACAATGACAGGTGAGTAAGTGTGGAGTCAAGCAAACAAGCTGAGCTGACAACCACTACAACCACACAGCACCGTCAGCAGAAGGAGCCCCTGCCTCAGGCCAGTTCCGCAGTCCTCCCGTGCGAGAGCTGCTGCTGAGGCCATTAGCAGCTGCATGATCTAGACCTGCTACCGTAGGTTTGGTCTGCTTGGCCATCATGAAGTTGAGCCTATGAGCTTTGATGCCGCGAAATTATGTCTTACAGCCTTGCTTTCCCAGGGACCTGCGAGAGCTGGCACATTCGGATCATGGGGCAGCATCTCTGCAGCCGAGGTTCAGGACTGAGTTCCACTGAAGCCAGAGGGCCAGCTGAAAGCAATTGTTCATCCACACAAGCTCCTGATGGAAGCTCCTGATGGACTCAGAACCCTACCTCTGGCTGCTTTGTCCTCTGTTGCTAATGGCTGTTCACTGTGAATGCTTTGGCAATCAAATGTGCGACAGTTGCAAGTTGTAGTTCTCCTGCGCTTTCATGTGGAGCAACGCATGTCTTCAGGTTGGATGATGAGCGCCGCTTTGACAGACAGTACGTCATTGAGGCATCTGAGAAACCCATACATAAAGCAGCCTCAGGAAACGCAGGTGTTATGTGTTTTCGTCGAGTCTCCTTTCCCTTTCTCGGCTAAGTTAGTGCTTTAGGAAATCGCTTGAGCTGACGTTTTCTCATCGCAAGCTGGCTTGCGAAGATGTTTCGCCTAATGCTGGCGAGTTGACAACGTAGTTCCCTTGAGCTTGACGCGGTTCTTTGATCATTCGCATGATGTCAGAGGTTTGACGCTTGAGTTTTTTTGTCCCTCTGTCCATGTCCCTCTCTCTCGCTCTCGCGCACTGTACCTTGCAGCGGGCGAGACCTGGTACTGATCATCTGACCCGCGCAGGGCTGATAACTAGTGGAGGACCATTTTATCTCAGTTCGCACTCCAGTTTCCCACCACTGGTTTGTTGAGTCTGGCTATTGTCTCGCTTTTGGGTGAAGTGCACGTCTGCTACCGGATCCATTCGCAGTATGTCTCATTGAAATCGCTATGCGACTTTATCTAGCTGTTAGCAATCTCGCGTCCGACAAAAGGTTGCACAGCTTCACATGAGCCAGCGCAGGATACACAAGTCCATTGCGCCATATTGCGCCAAATGCTTCAAACTGAACATCAGCTTAAGCTGAAGAACGATTCTCCCATCGTCACAGTACGTCGCGATCGCTCGCACTTGAATTCAGAAATTGCTTTACAGTGGCGCAGACTGAACTTCAGATAAAACAGCTCGGTGCAGTTATCAGTTTTCAGTAGGAAGGTTCATGGACGAGGCCCTGAGATTGATTGAAAACAGACCTCAACCAAACAAGTCAGCGCAGTGATTACTGAAAGTAACGCTTAGAACCATTCCTTGCATTTCAGCACATGTGCGCAAACTCCGGTGGGTGGCTGGAAGTGAGGTTTCTATGCTAAGCCCGCAACGCCATGCAAGCCATTCGCGTGCTTAGCTTGTGTGTTACCCATAACCGTTCAGCCAGACTGGCTTCCTCACATCTCAAGTTCTTAAGCCTGGCGTTGCTGTACCGCATCCACTGTCTGCGTATGTCTCAGAGCGATAGAGCAAATCTCTGAGCCAGCATCATGGTCTTCGGTTAGCAGCTTGTGCAGGAGAAGGAAAAGCCTGTCGGTGAAGGTACTTACGGCGCCGTGCATCGCGCCTTCTGCAATCGTTTGACATTCTGGCACGGTTTGCACGGTGGACGGGGTGCAGGCATGACATTTGGTACCCAAGTCATGCATTGCAGCCAGGCAAAAAACAGTTGCGATAAAGCGTGTCAAGATGGAGCACGAAGAGGAAGGAGCCGCTGGACCAGCATGTTATGACAAGAAGGACTCCACAGAGTCAGGCAGTAGTGGTAGCCAATACCGCATAACAGCAGCAGTCGTGTGCAGTCGTCATTGCCGTGGTTGGCCTCATCTTAGCAGCAGCAGTAGCAGGACTTGCATTATCGTGAATTTTTCAGTTTGGGATGTCTGAGCAGTTGTCATCCTTGCCGGACCCGGGCTCTGGTATTTCTGGCCTGCTGGGAGGCGCTGGGAGGTCCCTGCGTGAGGTTTCTGGGAAGCGCGTGTGAGAAGCCACCTGAGAGAAACCTGCGAGAAACTTGGGAGGAACCTATGAGAAGCCTGTCAGAAACTTGTCACAAGCCTGTCAGAAACCTGTCAGAAACTTGTGAGGGACGTGTGAAGAGACCTGTGAGAAACCTGTGAGAAACCTATGAGAAACCTGTGAGAAACCTGCGAGACACCTCTAAGAAACCTGTGAGAGACCTGTGAGAAGCACGTGATACCCAACCCTCTCCCTCCACCACCTCTCCACCACACACCCCCACCCCCCCACACCCCACTACGGCCCCTCACCACACCGGCGCGCATTCAGGAAACTCTACCTCAGGTCTGCCGTCCTGTGCTAAGAAAAGTGCTAGCCCCGCCCAGTGCTCCTAAGTGCCAGGTCCTGTATTACTTATCCGTAAGAAGGTTTTGGAACCCGTAGATGCAATGCATTAGACAGACTGCTTGACGCCAGCTGCTATGGGAGAGGGGCTCAGTATTCTGTGGGGCAGTGAATCGAGCTTGAAGAGAGCTCGTCATGAGGCAATTGCAATTTTTGTTGTTTGCTTTATCTCAGCTTGGATTTCAAATCGCTCACAGGCTTCTCAGTGGTTTCTGACAAGCATCGCTCGCAGATTTCTCAGCTAGCTCACCAGAAACATTTTTCGTGAACTCCCTGAAAATCATGAATTGAATGGATGGACATTTGATTCGTGCCGGAGGGTCTTTGCTTGGAAAACGATAGCACGCTCCCCTCGAAAGATAACGTCAATATACACCCCAAAAATTGGGAAATGATAACATACTCACCAAGTTTCCAATGAACTGCAGCGCGGACAGGAAATAAAGAGCGCACATCATGTGCCGATGTTCCTGTCATGAAGTCAGTGTTGCATGTCTGCTGCCAAGATGCCGAGCACTGCAATTCGAGAAGTTGCCGTGCTGAAGGCGCGCATGATGCCTGGCAGTTAACCCTCACACTCCGCACTGCAGCGTTAGATCCGGCATTTTTGAGGGATTGCTTCAAGGCTGCTGATCACCCAAATGTCGTCAAGCTGTGCTTTGCTCAGAATTTCAGTCCGTTTCAATCGAGGTTCAATGCATCCTTTGCTGCGCTCAGGCTGGATGTTGCTTGCAGTCCGGGCCGCTTGCATCTGGTGTTCGAGTTCGTGGACGCGAACTTGAAGCAGTCCGCTTCCCATTCCCAGATGTCAAACACACACTTCAGGTATATACACAGTAGTGCCTGGGCAATCATGGGCATGCAAATCGGCAACCAGGTACATGAAGAAATTTGGACTGCGACTAGAACCGGATATTGTGCCTGGGGTGCAAGATGCTGTGTCAATGACAGCCAATACAGCCATCGCACTCTGCGGCAAGCCTGAGCTGTTCCAGGTGCGATCCCTACAGAAGCAGCTGATGAACGGCATTGACTATTGCCATGCACGCAGGCAGGCTTGAGAGAGAATCCTGCAAAGGCCCTGCAACTTGTGCAGGAACCACTGATCTGAAATGATCACGGATGTCAGTCAATCATCTCATGTTCCAGGATAATTCACAGAGACCTCAAGCAGCGGGCCCAATCACTTTGGCGAAATTCGAGCCCGTAGCCACCGATGAACGACCTGAGGCCACAAAATATTCTGGTTGACGGTGAGGCCAGGCAATGCGTAGAGTTTATGTTGAATGGAAGAACTTAACTTGACGGACCACTTGAGCGATGAGCTCGCATGCCGCCCGCGCCAGAACAACCTCAAGATTGCAGACTTTGGCATGGCGCGCGCTGGTGACTGAGCTGCTGACTATCTGGGGTTAATTGCCAACGCAGTCACATGCAGATGACGGTGATGATCAGACTTTTCTGCTGCTGGCATGGCATTGAGGCATTCAACCTTCCATTGCCGAAGTACACTCACGAGGCTGCAGTCGCTTTAGTAATAGGTGAAGGATGTATCCGGATCCGAGCGAACTTGATGCTTAACGCCCGCGAGCTAGCAGTTTGCTGCGTTGTAGAGGTGGTGACGACATGGCAGCTTCCTCAGTTTCATTTGGATTCCCACACTTGCGATTGTCATACGCTTGGTTCTCAGGTACCGTTCCCCTGAGATTCTCTTCGGATGCGAGGAATATTCTCTAGGAGCCCACCTCAGGTTGGTTTCTGCAGCCACCGCCAGCCAAGACAAGCTGCTTTTTTTGTAGCAGCCTCTGCATCTCGAGGTGCTTTTGACAAAAGCTTTCCCAAAGCTTTTGTCTGAGCCCAGCTTTGCTGATCTGTATGAAGAGGGGGCGGGGAGGGGAAACAAATTTGGCCGTGTTTCGCGGGCCAGTCTGATGGGCCTCGAAAACAGGCCTGACGAGGGGTCTGTTGTGATGCGGTTTTGGGGTGCCGTTTCGGGGGCCGTGGAGGCTGTTTGGGGCAGCTTTTTTGGCACGTTGGAAGCCGTTCTTGGGCATGCGGAGGCCGTTTGCGCTCCGCCGCTTCATGAAAACATGCACGCGCCAGTTTGCACACTGCTTCTAAGCTTTCGTCTCCCCTCCCCCCCCCCGGGGTGGGCGCAAGTGGCAAGCTTGCAGATTTACAGGGAACAGTCATCCCAATTTGGCATTCAGCGATAATTTCATTTCCCGCTGCCTGGTTTGTGGGTGGCCAAGACATTTTCAGGTACTGTAGAAGCTTTTAATTTTTTGGCACGCACAACTGAAGCCATTCCAGCGATGCCACTGTGGTGATGCTTGAGACGGGTCGAGGGAAGACTAAGCTCAGTGCTCAAGACTTTGTTTTGGATATTACGGAGCCGTGAGAGAGGTCACGGAAATGTTCGGTTTTCCTGGACTGAGCACACGTAGCACTGGCACATCTTGCAAAACTTCCAGCCTGCATGCAGTTCAGGCGTTGATGTCTGGAGTGCTGGATGCATCCTCGGAGAGATGGCAACTGGCATCTTCCTTACTCTCCGCGCACAGCACGACATCCATGGGTCAGCACGGGTCAGCACATGTCAGCACACAACGTGAAGCTGAGGCGCAGCATTGTTCCATGGAGATAGTGAGATCGACACCATCTTTCAGATCTTCCGGAAGCTAGGTACGCCCACGGAGGCCGCCACGAGACTGTCGCCACCAATGGTCAGCACGTAAATCTCTTGCACGCGCGCCCAAGAAATTTCTGGCAGCATAGCTGTGCTGATTGCCGCAAGCGCGGGTTTGTGAAATGTAAAGATGGTTGTGGCCCTGGGGAGCTGTGGGAAGGCCTGATGTTTGATCCTGCTTGCGAGCGTGCATTCGGTTGAAAGTAGTTGGAGAGAGGCCGACTGGCCTGGGCTTGCGGACCTGCCGGATTTCAAGCCAACGTTCCCACAGCCTCCTGGCAAACACCGGCAAACAGTGCGCCAAGCAAAAACAATATCGACACATCCTGGCTGAAGGTGGAGGCGCCGTCCGTGGACTGAAATTCGAAACATTGCAGCGCAGTTGGGTGCTGCTCCCTGCTCAGATTCATTGGAGCGGTGCGGCAACCAGGGTTACGATCTTGAGTGCCTCAGGCCGGCGTGCGACTTCTGGACGGGGAAGATAGTTTTGCAGTCCCTGCTGCATCTCGGCTTAGATTTACACGTCCTGCACATCGTCCCCATTCGAAGGATGCCATGTTGCGATATGATCCTGTTCGTCGCGTATCCGCGAAGCAGACTCTGCTGCACGAGTGCTCCTGCCTGCTCGAAGCTGCTTGTTCATGCCCAGGCAGTAGTTTTCAGGTACTTCAGCGCACAAGCTGATGTGATGGATGCAGTCATGGCGGACTGAAGCTCGCTACTTCCAATCGGCCAGAAAACGCGTCGATATGTACAGAAATTCATGGCTTTGATCCAGGCATGTTAGCTTTACTGTTCTGCATTTTTGGAAGCTTGCGCGTACACCAAAGGGAGGCCTCCATTTGCCTAGGCGAGGCAGTACATGTGACAAAGTGTCCCGAGGACGCTGCAGGCAATCGTAATTCGCTGGTTGCGTTTAATTCGGAATGCCGGGTTCTTGAATGGAGATGCAAGCAGCTTGTGTGAAAAATGACGGTATCTGGTGCGATCTGCTCAACCACAAATTCCTCTTCAGACCTTGCTTCGGTCGCTGCTCGCCTCTATCTTGTCAATGTGACGCGTGGCATGTCACACGAAGCTCAAGCTTGGCAGCAGGTAGAATAGTTTGTTTAACCATGGGGCGCCGAGTCAGAGGCAACGGGGTGGGCGACAGCTGCATTGCTGTGTTTGCTCAAGAATGCTCAAGATGGACAACGGATGACAACGGGACACAACGGGACAATGCCAGGTTCCACGGCCGCTCTCGTGGCTGGGGCTAGCCTCTGCGGCTCGGCCGCACTGCAAGAACAAGGAAGGTGGTGTAAGACTTTTTAGAGTAATCAAGGTCTTGTGCCCGGATCTCTTTTTGTGCCCTGGTCTGGGGCCTCGTTGTCACGACCGCGCGTTGCTCCTTGGCTTAGAGAAACGTCCTTTTGCCGCTGCCCTCGCCAGTAGTGGAGCCAGGCTGCGGTAGGGACAAATTCCCACTTTACTTCGCCCGCTTCGCCAGCTCCGCGAGGCCCAGCGCCCCCGCACTTGCGGCTCATGCGGCTCATGGAAGTTCCTGAATACTTGACAACTTGACAGGTGACGGCTCATTCGTAGCTCTTGTCGGCTTTGCAGCAACTGCAGCAGCTGCATGGTGCCAAGACCTGCTGTCCGCCTGCTTGTACCGAACTTAACAGGAGACCCAACTGCGCAATTATAGACAGGTTTGCGCAGGGCGAGTTCCGCGATCGGCAGAGCCAGCCGAGGCACAAGAACCTGACACCCAAGTGGATTTGAACCTTTCAAAGCTTATTCATTTGTCAATTTCCTCTCGCAGTTCTGGTTCAGCATTAACTGGCTGCCTTCACGAAATAGTGTGGGTGCGGCCCAAAAACCTTTCGTTTATTACAGGCTGAAAAGACTGGTCATGCGACAGACCCCTGCAACAGACCCCACAGCAACCCCCGCCGTGCGGCCAGCGACAAAGGGGTTTGAAACAAGAGGGGCCCCGACGGAGGTCTGTAACAGATGGGGATGCTTATCGAAAAAAGTGAATTATCATAACAACTAAGCTTCAATGACAATCAACTACAAATGACATTATCAACAAAACGCATTGGATAGTGAAATGCCTACAGATTTCCTATGGCTAAAAGCATAGTCCATCTCTAACTTCCTGGATGTGTGGGAGCAGAAAAGGACAGTAGGAGAAAGCAAGCGTGCAAGAAAGACAGTAAGTAAGAAGACAGGAAAGCAGAAACAAAGAAATAAAGAAGGAAGCAAAGGAAGAACTTAATTTCACAATTTCCCTACTCGTGGTTCGTTGCTTTTGCATTTTCTGTAAGTTGATCGCGTTTTCATGATAGTTAATGACTTTTTCATCTTCATCATTTCCACCAGTTTTCATGATGATCCATCATCTTCTGGACTTTCATGATTTTGTAGTAGTCTTCACCGTTGAAGTCATCTACAATCATATTCCACCATCTTTGGTCCTTCATAATGTTTCATTATATTTCATCCTCTTTTTTTATTATCATTTCCACCCTCGTCATCATCCTCAGATTGCATCATCTTTAATCAACCTTAATCAGTTTGAATCATATCTCAACTTTCTTCATCATTTCCAATCACGTTTCAGCATTGTTTTCATGATTGGCCAACAATTCTCATCATTTGTCGTCATGTTTCACTGTCTCTCATTTTCATGACATCTCAGCATTGTTCATCGTTGTTATCTTTTTTTGTCAAATGTGCATCAGCATCATGTTTCACCCAATGCCAGCATTTTGAGCATGTCAGTCGTATTTTCGAATTTGTCATCGTTTCCCCTCACTTTATCATGTTCTCGTCACTCTCATTCTGTTTTCATCACCTTCTCATGATTTTCCATGATTTTCCATGTTTGTACATGATTTGCACATGGAAGGGGCTGCCACCTCCCCAACCTACCCCGCCCCCCTCCTCCGGTTGTTTAAGGCCATCCATGCTCAAAAAAAAAGAGACGACATGTCATCTTGCAGTAAGGGAAGGTTGTGCAGATCATTTTGTTTGCAAATGGGGGGGGTTGCGCCCGCACGGGCGCCTGCTTTTTTGAGGCCGTGCATGTTTTCAACACAAAAGAAGCATCACGCCATCACCATGTTTGCCAGGGAAGGTTGTGCGGATCATCTTGTTTGCAAATGCGGGGCTGCGCCCGTTTATTTAAGGCCGGTTGTGCGGATCATGTTGTTGCAAATGGGGGCTTTTTGAAGGCCATCCTACGGCGCAAATTTCAAAAATTCTATCAATTCTACACGGGAATATGTGAGGATCACATGAGGATTGCGTGGGGATTACATGGAGCTTATGAGAATCACAGGGACGCCACTGGCCACGCTGGTGGCGTGGCCACCGGTCCGCAATGGCTTTGGAAATCCCATTGAATACTTCAATAAAGAAATGTAAGCAATTCGTTTTAAATATTTTGAAGCTGGCCTGTATGCTCTTGAGCAACCAATTGTATGCAATTGCCCCAACCTGCTCAAAGACCTACTATACATCCCTTTACAGAGGATGGCCTCCTAGGACGCAACGTGGTACCAAGCACTGGTGCGAGGGAGGTGTAGAGCAAAAACCACAAAAATGAGGCATGGTAGCATATATATATATATATATTGTTTGCCTGGTTCCCTCGGCCTAACATGCCCGCCGCGTTTTACACTATTCCAGCACACACTTGTGTCAAGACGCGTGCGTGTACCGAAACTAGCACCTCTTACAGTTAATCATCCCATAACCTTGGCGATGCATGACTGCGTGTAGCGACATTCTCTCACATTTCATTGCAGTGGAGCGGCAAGACAAAACTTGCAACACGCGTGAGGTGACGCGTTGCGCGACTTAAACGAATTTGAAGTCCTCACGCAACCTGGAAAAGCTGGACTACGTCATGAAAGCGAATAACGCGTGTATGGCCCCTGTCCAAAAAATGAGAAGCCAGTGCTTTGAGCATGGATCTCGCCTGAAACTCATCAATCAGGAATCAGGAGAGTCCACTTCTGGCGATCTGCGTGTGTCGGTCAGGTGCCAGGTGTCGGCAAGGTGCCAGACATGTTCTTTCCAATCCACTTCTAAGATAGCAGGCGTCATGTCGAGATGTTGCGTAGTGACAATGTCAGCGAACTGCTCGATCTTGGCCGTGTGAGGCATTAGGTGGCAGATGGGACGGTTTGAGATTTGAAGACCGCTTACGACATGGTCCGATTTGTTGGGTTTGTTTTCCGGGCCTTGAAGTTTTTGTCCCTATACATGGGTGCATGCCTAGTCGAAGTTGAGATTGCCATCCTGGATGTCATGCACCGGAGCGTAGCTTGCCATTGCGCAAGAGGATGTGCGAACAGGAAAAGTTTGCGCTGATAATGCGGTGGTAGCTTTGAAGAAAAGCGATGGCATCATAAATATGCATACTGCAACTTTCATGCAATGGTTGGCATGCTTTCAAACTGTAGTCTGCCAGAGCAAGCTTCCAATAAGTCAGCTGCGTTTTCTCACAGTCCTGGCAAGATTATGGAGTACACCGAGATGGAGCTTGTCAGCTTCGCTGAGCAGTTCTTCCCTTCGGACAGCAATTTTGAAAATTAATTCTCCCATTCTCAGCATTCGAGATCCTCGGTTGTACCGAGACTGAAAAGTCGTAATAAACAAACACATCAAACTCATTTGCTAACAAGATTCCATCTGGAAGAGTGCCGGCGAAGGTCGTGCTTTGTGTAGGAGTTGTGGGCAGTGGGCCTGGTCCCCTTGGATATCTTGTTTACGAGAAACAAGTTACAATCTCAAGCATCATCAGCAGTCGCTAATCAGGATAAGTCACGTCGGGAAATGACCAGATTTCAGCTAGCGTCTCATCAGGTAGCCTGGTTTTGCTTTCGAGCATGGCTTACCACATTTTGCCACATTGTCGAGGGGAGCTAATCTTAAGGCACGCCTTTATCAATAGCAGCCGAACGCAAGTACATGGAAGTGAGAGAGAGAATTCAAATGAATCATACGATCAGACACTTCAAGGGACCAAAACCAAAAAAAACAAACCGGCAAAGCACACAAAAAACAGACAAAAACACATGAAAATCACCGACAAAGCAGAAAAACTATTCTGGGAGTCCTGGGTTTGAGGGTCCGTCGGAGGCGTCCGGATTTTTGATTGTTCTGCTTTGTATGTTTTGTTTTTTCCGGTTTTTTCCAGGTTGCGTTTTGGCCGTGTAGTTTGTAGTGCTCTCTAAACCCAACCCCTCAATCCCCAGCCCCCCTTCGCAGACGAGGAAGTTCCTCGCAGACGCCAGAGTGCCTGTCGAAATAGTGTAAAAATGCAGGCCCCGAGGCGTGTACATACATATATATATATGTATATATATATATATCTTCAGTGTATTTATACTGTTCATGGGCATCCTTTCTTCGTGATTATTTCGGACTTTCATATCTTTTATTCATCGTTGTACTTGTCTGTGTAAAGAGCATGAAAACAAAAAACACTGTTTTAAAATACTTGCATAGATGTCCCGGTATTCCTCACGTAATCCCGTATATAACCATCACATGATCCCAATCGTGACATTTTACGCGGAGGACACAGCCGCGGGGACATGGTAACAAGCAATTGTGCTTCATCCTGATACCATCCTCCTGGGATGCAGCCACGGGGACATGGTAACAAACGCTGGTGCAAGGGAGGTGTAGACTTGAAAACCTTCAGGACATGTA